GCTCAAAAGCGCACAATGGTATGTCAGCTGTTCTTCTGAAAATGGAGATTGTCAAAACCTTTTCCACATTTCTTTCTGCTTTGTATTTTTACCAGTGATTGTATTGACTTAAGAGTAGCGTGAAAGGACCATACAAAATTATGACTGCCGCAAAGGAGTTCAATTTTGTCCAACCAGAACTACTCAGAATTCAGGCCATCACTTATACGATGCTGCTGTAGGTGCTAACAGCCAAGATGATGGTTGGTGCCTGACTAAATCTAATTTATTGGATTTCGCCCTCTTACTTTCACCCAGTGATGACATTTCTTCTCTATTTCCTAGTAATCACAGCAAGGAGATTGTGCGCCTCTCTGCCTGGCTGCTCAGCCCATGATCTTCTGGCCCTGATGCAAAGTCATTGTGTTTATAATGAGCACAAGCTTCATTTATTTTGGGCTCATTTCTAATGACCACTGGCTTATAATGATGCCGTCTTCCTGTTCTTGCCTTACTGGAAAACAATCGCTTATTGCGCACATCAGAAGAGAATTCTATTTTGGAAACTCTAAATAAGAACTAATGGAGACCGTGTCTGCTGAATTTATTTGACCAGAAATCTGCACGGAATGGTTAGTGGCAGATATGCAATTTATCATAGGTGTTAAGAGGAAACCATTTTAGGCAGGACGTTTTGGACATGACATGATTTTGGTTGGTAGGACTGCAGAGATTTTTGGGAAGCTAATGGAATTTAAACAGCTGGAGATCGATTGCAGTGTAAACAATCTGTCTGCTAATCTGTGATCGGTAGGCCTGCGCACAGCTGGTCTGTCCGGCAGATGTCACCTTGCTGAAAACCCACTGTGATAATTCCTCGGATGAGAATGTCCAGAGTAATAGCCCGAATGGCCACTGACAGCTGCATATAGCCACATTCTGCTGTGATTTAGGGTGAAAATCCTTTACTTCGTGGACTTGTTATGACTAATGTGTTTGCAATCGTATGCTGTGTTGTCATCTTAGTTTAAGTATTTTCATTTAAGCTCAAAATATTGAGTGCTGGAATTCAAAATAAAATATTCTGTTGTCGATTATGATTGTTATGCTGCCATTATATTGACACGTTCTGACATTCAAGATGTTATTAATGATGAGAATGATCATTTTAGACATAATATTTCTACTTTGTGCAGTTTTGCTCCATAGAAGAAAAGTCTTCAGCTGAAGCGTAACAGGATCAGCTGTTTTGACAGCAGTGTAAGGTGACCAGATTTCTAAAATGAAAACCAGAAACATTTCCTAATTCAGTCTTTAAAATACCATTACTTTTTTATCTATTAATATTATTATTAATACTATAATCTATTAACTATTTATAAATCAAATAGTTTTCAGTAACAAGCTATTTTATTAGTCAAATAGTGCAGTAGCATCTCCACAGGCTACATTTACCGATCATGAATCAATAAGTGATGGTACCGACATTCACAGAGCTGTGAGTCCAATGTCTAGCCGATGAAAGTAAATCCAAATTATGGCAAGAATGACGATTTCTTCTACTCCCTGTTACATCGTTAAATCAACGCTTCCCATTCTCGTCAGATTTTGCCAAACAGCATTGTGGATCTGTTGGCTGTTGGTCAGTCAATCAGATCACTGTATGCAAATACACCAGCTCAGAAAGTAGCTGATAGCTGACTAATTTCATTGGCTGACACTGCTATGAACTCTTCTTTTGTCGAGCGTTGACGCTGAAGCCCCAAGTGAATCGAGCATTACTGCTACCTCTCCTTCCGGTTGGTGGTGTCGCCAACCAATTAGGCTAACACAAGAAATTTACTTGATGGAAAGATGACTGAGGGAGAGGAGGTCTCTCTCTCTCTCTCTCTCTCTCTCTCTCTCTCTCTCTCTCTCTCTCTCTCTCTCTCTCTCAAATTCAAATTCAAATTCAAAGAGCTTTATTGGCATGACTGTAAAACAAATCACAATGTTGCCAAAGCAATAACAAAATACAGAACATTCATATAGATAAAAGAAATATAAGTAATAATAAACAAACACATATACATATCATTATATTATACATATATGTTGTCACAATAAACAAGTTAATAAAAAAAAGATTAACAAAAGTATATAATAATAAATGGTAAGGACAGAGAGCTTTAATACGGGATGAGGGGGTTCAGCCTTTTTCTCTCATATGGTGGCATGAGGACACGTACTGTGCTGCTAGGTGGAGACACTTTTCATTTTCTCCCAAAATATAATGGAGTTTCTCCGTATTTGTGGCTTGCTGGAATTGTGGTAGAATCAGAGACATTTGTGTGAAGTAAGCTTCTCTGATGCTCTGATATTTGCTGCATTGAGTGATCCCTATATATATATATATATATAAATAATAATAATAAATAATAATATATATAAATAATAAAAATAAATAATAATAAATTTCTCGTTTTGAGAAAATTGAGTAAATGATTCAATACCCACTTTTCATGTATTTTGTTTCTGATTAAGTCTGTTTTGTTCTGACTATTTCAGTGAATGACCAGTAGAGATATTTCATTTTAGAGCAAGTGTTTCAATCCTGAGTGAATCAGTGATGAATCATTTGCATAAGATTCAAATACTATTTCTATAACCATTATTCCATTTGTTAAAAATGTTATACCGATAATCCACTCTGATTTTAAGAGGGTTTTAAATTTAAATGTTGCCCTATAGTCGAATGTGAGACAGCGATAGAGCAAAACAGCCAGCGGCAACACAGGAGATTGCAACTTTCATTCATAATTTATTGCAGTACTACCTCAGGAGTTGACTGAACAACTGGAAACACCATGAGAATCATATTTAAATAATATATGTTCACAGAGTGTAGGTTCTTGTTGATAGTTGAGTGATCAAGTGAATGGTTTTGGACAAACCTATGGATTCGGTTATATCACTTTAACATTGATGCAACATGCAGAAAGATCTGTTTGCACTTTCTGTTTGAAATATGTAACAGTAAACACAGGATATTATTTATTATTTACTGCAATTATAAACATTATTTACTGCAAAAATAAACAACTAAATAAATGAAAACCTTGCTGTTCCACAGTGCTAAACATAAAATTCCAGTTTAGGTTCATGTGAAAATGCCAAAAATATAATGAAGTTTGAATGTTTGTTATTATACAAAACAAATTTGACTTTCACAAGTGTGCAAAGTCAACCTGTTTTCAGTTCACTGGGTCAACAAATATTTGAAACAGCCAGAAAGACTGTTCTATTATTACTTTGTTATTTAAAGTGCTGGCCTATATCTCACCTTCAGATAGCTTCAAGGGTTGTGGCAGATTTTGACTCATGTCATGACAAGACAAAATATACACCAGCTGCTCTATGTGTGTCAGAACCTTCCTGGGCAATGGAACAAGCCTGCAATCATGACACTATTCTCAGATTTGCATTCAAAGGCTGAATATGTTTTATTGCTGCTTGTGTAAAGACAATGCACACACCAGAAATTCATATGTTTTTTTTTTTTTTTTTTTTGTAACACAATAGTTGTTAACAATAGTTGGTTAAAATAGTTAAGGTAATAATTTAAATGGTTCCCTTTAGACTTTGTTGTATAAAGTGCTTTATTTTTATGGTCCAAAATTACTTATCCCTTTGTCTGTCGGTTGACCTTATGGTTGACCATGTTTTTACTGTTTTAAATATTGACTGTTAAAGTAATGGTTATTAAAAAAAAATGGTTTACACACAGCATTGTTAGTAAAAAAAAAAAAAAACAGTGAAACAAACATAATTCTGTTGCATTACTACACTTGATTTTGGTTTTATTGTAAAAAATAAAATAAAATAAACTTGTTGTCTATTATTACACTCAAATACTTATATTTGTACCTGTCTGATGTTTACATTATATATAACTACTGGGTTTGTAGATACATCAGATGTTGTGGACTTGAACACAATTTCCACTCCACAAGATTATTCATACCTTCCTGGTGCAATCTCGTAACTTCTACCTTGCTCAGTAAAGCTATTAATACTTTATTGTCTGCATACTTTAATATGAATTGATTAGATCTGTCTGCACTGCAGTCATTTGTGCACACAGTGAAAAGCATAACTAACACAACCTTGGGGTTCTCCAACATTCATTTGTATTGCAGTTGTTAAAACTGTTTTCGGTTTAACTATCATAATTCTGTTTGTAAGAAAAGAAACATACCACCTAATTAGATTTACTTCCAACTCGTTAAGTTTAGATACTAGAATATCAGCATGAAACATGTTAATACCATCAAGCAATATCTAACTGTGCACTCTTGAATTGTTTTAAAGAATATAAAGCTCATTGCTAGATTCTCATAGTTCACATAAAATCTTATGTAAAGATAAATCAGTACCTCTGAAAATACTAGTTTAATTGAAATATACAGTAGTTTTCATATAAATTTTAAGAGAAAATCTCATCGAGCAACAACAATTATGTCTTTGAAGAACAGAAAAAAAAGAATTGAATAAAAACAGACTATGTTCTCTTTTTGTAACTCTAGATGTTACAAAGAAAAGATGAAATGAGAAAATCTTTCTCTAGCAGTTTTCTGAATCTTTTTATACAGCCAGGTCTCTAAAACACTGAAAAGAGTAAAGTAAAGCAAACCATCCCTTAACTCACTGCATTAGAGTCCCAGAATCTTATAAACCAAAATTTTTAGGAATCACACCCTACGGGCACTGCATTCTAGTAATCGAGCACTACCGTAATAGGTAATATAGGAAAATGAAAGCTAGATAAAGCAGGAGTTTTGGCCCCAGTGTACTGCTTAATCAATTCCACATCGAGAGAAGAGCTTGCTCAGTCACACACTGTTCTCTCTCCCTTCTGTTCAAAACCTGAGCATATGGGAGAGCGGTCTGGGATAGCACGAACCGACAGACTAAGAGCATGCTTATCTGCTAAATCAGCTCCACACACTGTAGTTTAACTGGTTGTTTTGCTGCTGTTACAGGGAAAGAAGACTGTCTGGGGCAGGACAAGAGCAAAGCGAGCCAAGATGTCTGGTATCTCCCTCAAACAGAAGAGGGAGAGCAAAGGAGGACCAGAGCAGGCAAGAGAAGAAAAGAAAGTCATGGCACACAGAAGACTCCTATGTTAAGAGGCCAATTGGAGAGGATGGAGTTGCTCGCCTCACCTGTTGTTTCATTTCAATCCTCAATGACTTTTGAAAAACCAATTCCCGGTTGATCTGTTCCCTGTGCTGTAATCACCCTGAAAGCGGGTTGATTTATTTGACTTATTTATTTTCATATCATCCTTCAGACTCTGTCATCAAAGATGAAATTTCAGAGCATTACCAAGAGAAAAATGTGACAACTTTCATCTCTCCCAAGTGACTTACTATGATGAGAATCATTTCCTTCAAATAACTGCAATCAGAACCTATCCGAACATGACTCCTGCGAAAGATCACATCAAAAAAGAGGCGTATTTCCTAGAACAAAATGGCTTTCTTTCATATTTATGAAAGATTCTTGCTCTGTTTGATCTTGTGAGTCGCGTTTGACAGGAAGATATTCCATTTGATTTGTTTTTGATTCTCTGATGATCTTCATGGTAGGGTTCTAAGTGGCGATGCAGTCATATAAAGCCCTCAGGAACACTGTGGGAAGGACTTCTGAGTACACTTTTATTTTTCAGAGAGCTGTATTCCAATCCCCGGGCCTGTCAGACGGATTCTCTCTGACCAGCAAGGATTCTGTCTTCTCCATCCTATTTTTGACAAGACCGGAGGATTTACGTTGACCTCGGACTGACCCGAGAGCTGTTTCTCCAACCTACAATGCAGAGGATGCTTGGCTTTGACTTTTAATGACTTTGACATTTATACTTCCCATACTGATAAGTCAGTGCCTGTCCAGATGGAAGGTCTGTATACATATAGGACATACAATAAACGCAATGCGCACAGTGTGAGCACTGCAGAAGGAAACTCATCATCTTGGCAACTTTAACTTCCTGACTCTAAAGGAATAGATTATTTATCTTAATGCACAATGGCAAAATGGCGCTTATTGTTGTTGGACTCAGTCTTGTTTTACACAAAAAATAAACAGGAAAGTACTGCCCAAATGTCGCTTTGGTATGCTGAATCTGAAAAATCTGAGAATTTTGTATAGAGAGCTGAAATATACTTGGTAACACGTTACAATAAAGTACAACTTTTTGACAATAGTTAACAAGTTGCATTAGGTATGTAACTCTTAAAAAAAAATAAAAAATCAGTAGTATTTTCTATCACGTACAATGTAAGTCACTGAGTGTCACCATCAACTGTTTAGTAAATAACATTTTTCAAAATATCTTCAATGTATTAAGCTGATGGAACTACTCTTTTAACATTATAGTTAACTATTTTGAACTAACATTGATCAATATCTGAAAAGTTTATATATCTTAATTTTAAGACAAAACATGTCATGTTGTATCTGCAAAAATAAAATTCACTATGTGAACTAACTTGAATATTCTTAACATAATTTCTAACTTAATAATAGGTAATAAATGCTGTAAACAAGAGACTGCTCAATGTAAGTTCATTTTAGTTAAAGCATAGACTTCATTCTAAAGAGATGATGATAATAAATAGAAACCATGCATACTTGTGCATTAACTAATGTTCATTGCACATTGTCAGATTGTAAAGTGTTACCAGGAACTTAATGTTTGTTTTGTATTTATATTAAATTTAGATGGGCAGATTACTTGTTGTAAATATTACAGATGTTATTTAATTTTTAATTTTGCCTTCATCTTTGTTTACACAACAGCTAAGGGCAATCAAAGATCAGGTGAAGAACACAAATATGTATTATACAAAATAATAAAGAATATATGAAGAAAGCCTTTTTGCACCTATTGCACAAAAAAAAAAAAAAAAAATACATATACTCAATGGCCACTTTATTAGGTAAAGTCCAACTGCGAACTGTTCAACTGCTCGTTAACAAATATCCAGTGAGTGGCAGTTCTGTGGGCTCAAATGTCTTGTTTGAGGAGAGTGGGCCGACTAGTTCGAGCTGAAAGAAAGGCAACAGTAACACAAATAACCACTCGTTACAACCGAGATATGCAGAAGAGCATCTCTAAACGCAAAACAAGTTCAACCTTGAAGCGAAAGGGCTACAGCTGCAGAAGAGCATACTGGGCGGTCAGCAAAGAGCTGATACTCCGGTCAGCAAAGAACATGAAACTTAGGCTACAGTTCGCATAGGCTCATCAAAATTGGACAATAAAAAATTAGAAAAATGTTACCTAGTCAAATGTTTCTCGATTTCTGCTACGACATTCCAATGGCAGGGTCAGAATTTGGCATTAACAACATAAAAGCATGGATCCATCCTGCCTTGTATCAAAAGTTCAGGCTGGTGGTGTAATGGTCTGGGGGACATTTTATTGGCACACATTCTGCCCATAAGTACCAATTGAGCATTGTTCAGAGTACCAGTACCAGAGTATTGTTGCCGACCATGTCCATCCCTTTATGGCCACAGTGAACCCATCTTCTGATGGCTACTTTCAGCAGAATAACACACCATGTCATAAAGCACATTTCCTTAACATGACAATGAGTTTACTGTACTCAAACGGCCTCCACAGTCACCAGATCCCAATCCAATAGACCACCTTTGGGATGTGGTAGAACAAAAGATTCGCTTTATAGATGCGCAGCCAACAAATCTGCAGCAACTACATGATGCTATCATTTCAATATGGACCAAAATCTCTGAGGAATTTTCCAGTACCTTGTTGAATCTATGCTACAAAGGATTAAGGCAGTTCTGAAGGCAAAACTGGGTCCAACCTGATACTAATAAAGTAGCCGGTGAGTGTAAATATGATAAAATTAGTGTGGAAATCAGTAGAAGAAGCTTTCAATGAAGCAAAAGAATAGTTTCAAGGCTAAATTGTGTACCTCAAGAGAAAATGACTTGTTTCCAAATGACTAAAACAGCCATTTTTTTATCGACTTGCTTTGTAGCAAGGTAATTTTTTTCTTTCATAAGATTAATAATGGATGTGCTTTTGGAAATTTTTGCGCAAATACAAACAACTAGAGACAATTTAAATGAAGTGCAGGAATTCAAAAGCAATGCTTTCTTGAAGCTGTTTGATTGAGGCCTACACAGATATTTCCACATTTTCTCTCTGTGTCTTTGTTTTAATCGTGCTGTAGTGATGACATTTTTTCATATTTGTCATTTCTTAGTCTATGTGCAATTGCAACAATTCTCACTGTATTTAAAAGACTCAATGATGCTTGCTGAGCAATGTACCTTATATGCACTTAATAAACATGTTCAGTAAACAGTGGCACTACTTCTAACTTTACCTAATGTTTTTTTCATAATTATTACTCATATATTTTTAAATGATTTTTAATGAAGGCAATACTTCTGGACAGGTAGTTTGCTGTCATTTGCTTTTTACATACAAAAGATACCCCATGCCTTAAAATTGCAAACCTGAATTAAAAGCTTTTGTTTTGTAAATATTTTTGCGCAGTGCACTGCCATTCAGATTTCACAGGAGACTTAATGAGCCAGATGTTTCAGCAGATGTTGTCATGAGAGGTTTAGAGGTTTGTTCAGTCTGGCCAGCTCAATGGAAATACTGCTGTGTTATCCAATGGTGTGATTTACTGTAACATTAGCAGTCCTTTCATTACTATTATGTCAATCTGTGAGTTTCACAACAAGGTCTCATTTTGCACTAATGTTTTAAATTAAAATCGTGTATGGCTAAACACAATGCAGAACAAAAACAGCCCAATTACATGCCCTCATAATGTGTTTATGGCAAACAATAAAGCCAATACATTTATAACTATGCAGTAAATTTGATACATCTCTAAGATTTGCTCTTTTTTCAGGGAAATTTCATTGTAATTCCATATCTTATTAATATACACCCACTCCCTCTTGTTTTCAAGTATTCTTTTCTCCATTTCCCTGGTTTGATTATTTAATTTAATAATCATCCAACACTGACATATATATGCAATTATTAATATAAATTCTTTAGACACAAAAACCCTGTGGTAAGTAGAACAAACCCTTTGGAACCTGTGTGGAAGCTTCACATTTCAAGTTCGAAGCTATCTTTTTCCAATTAAGATAAGGTTAAATCACGTGTGAAATGCACATGAATGGTTTGAAGCACCAATCCAGGGCAGCCACTGCAAGAGCTGCAGTAGGTGCAGAGTGGACAAATAACACAGAAAATAAATAATAAAGAAAGAGGCAAGAAGCCTGCAAATATATATATATATATAT